AAAAAGGCTCAAAAAACCTGAGAGACTATTTCGAAATAAATTTGAACACGACGACAGAAAAAGAGTGATTTGGGATGCTAGTAAAGCGGTGATGAGAGGATTTTTGATACAACAAAATGCAATTAGGAAAAGATACCAAAATGAGAAGAGAGAAAAATTCTGGAGAAAATAAAGGATGGAGAAAAAAGACTGAGAGCGAAACCGAACTCACAGGAGATTTTAAAAGAAATAAAGCTATACCAAGTACAGTATATGAAATTGATGAATCAGGAGATAGAATGGAAGATTCAACAGATGAAACAAAAGACCTTCGAATCGGCAAATAAATGTGGGAAGTTATTGGCCTGGCAAATGAAGAAAAGACAAAAGCTGAATACAATTACAAACTTGGTTGTAGAAGGAAAGAACATACAGAATCCTGGAGAGATTCGGAAGTGCTTTCAGAATTATTTCAAACAGCTATATACGCAGGAGGCTCAGAAAGATTTAGATATTGACAGATTTTTGGAAAATAATGGATTACAAAAAATATCTCAGGACAGTAAATCAATATTAAATTCGACTATATCTGATCAAGAAGTGGAAGGAGCCATTCTGAATATGAAATTGGGCAAATCCCCAGGGCCAGATGGACTAACTGCAAAGTATTACAAAACTTTGAAAGAATGGCTATTGCAACCGTTGAAAGAACTTTGTAATGAAATACTACGGGGAGGAAGAGCACCCGAGTCGTGGAAAGAAGCGTACATTACACTTATACCAAAAACCGAGGGGGAGAAGACACAGTTGAAGAACTACCGTCCCATATCCCTGCTAAACGTGGATTACAAAATTTTTGCTGAAATTATGGCTAAGAGATTAAAAAATGTATTGGTAAAAGAGATTCATAAAGACCAGGCGGGTTTTCTGCCTGGAAGACATTTGTCAGACAACACTAGGAACATCATTAACATTTTGGAAAAACTGCAAGTTAATATTAACACTAAAGCTGTTTTAATATTTGTGGATGCAGAGAAAGCGTTTGATAATATTTCTTGGAGTTTTATGAAGAAAAATTTGCAGGGGATGGGGGTAGGCCAAAGTTTCGAAAATGGTATAGGTGCAATTTACTCGGAACAAAAGCTAAGCTTATTGTGAACAATTTATTTTCAGAAGAATTTAAGATAGAGAAAGGAACAAGACAGGGTTGCCCAATCTCCCCATTGCTTTTCATATCGGTCCTTGAGGTTCTGCTCAATATGATTAGAAAAGACCAATTGGTTAAAGGTATACAACTCGGAGCTAAACAGTATAAATTGAAAGCTTTTGCTGATGATTTAGTTTTGACAGTACAGGAGCCAGAAGCTAGCACAAAAAGGGTGTTACAATTAATACAAGAATTTGGTCAAGTAGCTGGTTTTAAATTAAATAAGATGAAAACCAAGGTATTAGAGAAAAATCTTACAGAGATAGAGAAGGAGAGATTCCAGAAAGAGACAGGATTAACAATTGTTAACAAAGTGAAATATTTAGGGGTGAACATGACTGCTAAAAATGTGAATTTGTTTAAAGATAATTATGAAAAATGTTGGTCAGAGGTGAAGAAAGATCTAGAAATATGGTCAAAATTGAAGTTATCATTGCTTGGCCGAATTGCTGCGATAAAGATGAATGTATTGCCTAGAATGTTGTTCTTGTTTCAAACATTACAAATTGTGGATAAAATGGACTGTTTCAAGAGGTGGCAAAGAGACATTTCCAAATTTAAGATATTAACAGATGCAAAGGAAAGAGGGGGATTTGCCCTGCCAGATCTTAAACTTTACTATGAATCAGCCGCTTTTGCTGGCTGAAAGATTGGCTACTTCTTGAAAACGTGGACATTTTGGATTTAGAAGGTTTTGACAACGTTTTTGGATGGCATGCATATTTATGGTATGATAAAGTTAAAGCGCATAAGGCCTTTAAGAACCATATTGTCAGGAAAGCATTGTTTAATGTTTGGGTGAGATATAAGGACTTGTTGGAAAGTAAAACACCAAGGTGGCTATCACCAATGGAGGCAAAGGCATTGAAAAAAACCAATATGGAGACAAACTGGCCAAAATATTGTGAAATTTTAGAACAAGTTGGAGATAAATTAAAATTGCAGAATTTTGACAAATTAAAAACCAAAGTCAGAGATTGGTTGCACTATTATCAAATAAGGGAGGTTTTTAACTTAGATAAAAAGATTGGCTTCCAGGAGGAAAAATCCAAACTGGAAACGGAATTGTTAGAACCTAAAACTAAAAATTTGTCAAAAATGTATAATTTGCTGCTGAAATGGAATACACAGGATGAAATGGTTAAATCTGTTATGATTAAATGGGCGCAGGATGTTGGGCATAACATTATGTTTGCTGACTGGGAACGGTTATGGACCACAGGTATGAAATTTACGGCTTGTAATGCTTTAAGAGAAAACATAATGAAAATGATTTACAGGTGGTACTTAACCCCAGTCAAGCTAGCAAAAATTTATCACTTGCCTGATAATAAGTGTTGGAAATGTAAAGAAAACGAAGGTACTTTCTTTCACCTTTGGTGGACGTGCCCAAAGATCAAGGCATTCTGGGAAATGATATACAATGAATTAAAAAAGGTATTGAAATATACTTTCTTAAAGAAACCAGAGGCCTTCCTCTTGGGCATGGTCGGCCAATTGGTGCGAAGGGAAGATAGAACTTTTTTTTATGTATGCGACAGCAGCAGCAAGAATACTCATCGGGAAATATTGGAAGACACAAGAATTGCCTACCCGAGAAGAATGGCAGAGAAAAGTGATAGACTATATGGAACTGGCTGAGATGACTGGAAGAATTCGAGACCAAGAAGAAGGGTTGATGGAACAAGATTGGAAAAAGTTTAAAATATATTTACAGAATTACTGTAACATAAATGAATGTTAGGAAAGGTTGGAGAAGAAATATTAGACCGTATTGGCAGACAGAGTATAATGGAATTAAGTAAATATAAAGTGTAAACTAAAGGATAGAGGAGAATTAAATATTTTTGAATGTTAAAATGTTAAAATAAGTGAATGAAAAGAAGGTTAGAAGGATTTGCTGGAGATACAATTTGAATTAGAATACAAAGCAGAGAAGTGAGAGGAAGTCACGGAAATAAGTAAATGGGAAAACGGTTTGTTAAATTTGAATTCTTTTTTTCTTGTTATTTCTTTATTGTGATTTTTGATTTTGTGTATTTTTTCCTTTTTCCTTTTTTTTTCTTGTATGGTGTGTATTTTTTGTAAGATGTATGTGACTGGTTTTCTTGTTTTGTTTTTTCTTTCTTTTTTGTAATTTTAAAACTTGAATAAATATTCTTAAAAAATAATAATAATAATAATAATATTGTGTACCTCCCCTTCCTCCACCAATCTAAATTTTCTTACTGTGCACAATTTCTTCCTTCAGGGACAGGTCAAGAAGTGTAGCCAGTGTGATCAGTGCTTTTTTAATAGAAAAATAGGTGCCAGTGCTCACCCTGAAGTTGTTACATTAAGTGCTACACTTTTTAGCTAAAAAGGGGGTGCCGGTACTGTGTACCCTTGAATGCCCCCTCAAAAAATGACACTAAGTGTGATGATGCCAAATCGTCATTTTACACAATCTTCCATCTTCAAGTCTGGTACTAGAAGGCCAGCCAAGCTGATGAAGATCAGACTGGATGTTGTTTGTTATATTACAGTGGTACCTCGGGTTAAGTACTTAATTCGTTCCGGAGGTCTGTACTTACCGTAACTTGAAACTGTTCTTAACCTGAAGCACCACTTTAGCTAATGGGGCCTTCTGCTGCTGCCGCACCGCCGGAGAACGATTTCTGTTCTCATCCTGAAGCAAAGTTTTTAACCTGAAGCACTATTTCTAGGTTAGCAGAGTCTGTAACCTGAAGCGTATTTAACCCGAGGTACCACTGTATTGTGATAATCATCACAGTGCTGAATTCTCTCTCATATTTTGCTGTTGATATGTTCAAAAGCAGGGCTTTGTGCATGCACCCTTTTAAAGCATGGTGCCACTGACCAGTGTGCATGGGCTGAAATTGTGTCTCTTAGACCAATCCTATGCAAGTTAACTTAAAAGTAAGTCCTTCTGAGTTCAATGGGGCTGGTTTCTAGGTAAATGGAATCTAGGATTGCTGGGCTATAGTTTTGTGCTACTGCATACATGCTTTATAGATGTTTAGCATTGCTACTTTGGGTCTCCTTGCCTTCCCAATGCAAATTCCTAATTTAATTTAATTTTTATGACAATGGGATGAGCCAATCAATGGCATGTGAATGAACCCAGAAAATACATACAGAGACACACAACATAGCACAGATTTAGACTTCATAGTATAGACAGAATTCTCTCTCTGCTTTCTATAAAAGATCTGGCATCTGATCATTAATTGAAAGGTACAATTTTTAAAAAGATCTATGGCATTTCTTTCTTCTCTGCTGTTTATTTATTTATTTTTGCAGTCCATCTTCCAGACTGTCAAGGGTTATAGCCTCTCTTGAGAGGAGCCAGAAATGTGGCTTGGGTTTGTATACTTAGTACTGGTTTCTATGTAAAATACACATTGCGCCGATCTTCAAGGAACTATTTCTCCCAGCAGAAGGTCAGACGCTTGGTGCCTTTTTCCATATGTTCTCTCCCGAGCGGAGTTGCTGGCTGCTCTGTGTGCCTTGAAAAGGACCTTTGGGAAAGATGCGTTCAGGCATATTGCACATCTGGAAATGGTGACGGTCAGTTTAGATTTTAAAGCACGCCGGTCAGTGTCTTCTATATGGTAATAAAATAAGTCAAACACTAACAGAAGCAAAGAATCAGTGAGGGGGAGTTTCTGAAATATGGGCTGGTTCGCGTTTTAATGATGCTTGATTCCTCAACCCTTAATGACTGATAGCAGCAGGGTTTTTTCAGCCAAAACTTGCCAGAACTCAGTTCTGGCACCTCTCAGGTGAGTGCCATTGCCATTATAAGAGAACAAGAGAGGCATTCATGGTTAGTTCCGGCACCTCTTTTCTAGAAAAATAGCAAAGGATATGCACTGACTCTTGAAAAAGAAGAGGTGCCAGAACTCACCATGAATGCCTCCCTTGTTCTCTTACAAAAGCAATGATAATAAGAATATTTATACATACATACATACATGGGACGCGGGTGGCGCTCTGGGTAAAACCTCAGCGCCTAGGGCTTGCCGATCGTATGATTGGCGGTTCGAATCCCCGCGGCGGGGTGAGCTCCCGTCTTCGGTCCCAGCTCCTGCCCACCTAGCAGTTCGAAAGCACCCCTAAGTGCAAGTAGATAAATAGGTACCACTTTATAGCGGGAAAGTAAATGGCGTTTCCATGTGCTGCACTGGTGCCGGCTCGCCAGAGCAGCTTCGTCACGCTGGCCACGTGACCCGGAAGTGTATCCAGACAGCGCTAGCCCTCGTCCTCTTAAGTGAGATGGACACACAACCCTAGAGTCGGACACGACTGGCCCATACGGGCAGGGGTACCTTTACCTTACATACATACATACCCTGCCCATTTAGCTGGGTTTCCCCAGCCACACGATCGAACATCAAACATTAAAAACTTCCCTAAACAGGGCTGCCTTCAGATGTGTTCTAAAAGCCAGGTAGTAGTTTATTTCCTTGACATCTGATGGGAGGGCGTTCCTTATGGCAGGAGCCACCACCGAGAAGGCCCTCTGCCTGCTTCCCTGTAACCTCACTTCTCACAGTGAGGGAACCACCAGAAGGCCCTTGGTGCTGGACCTCAATGTCAGGGCTGAACAATGGGGGTGGAGACTCTCCTCCAGGTATACTGGGCCGAGGCCAGTTAGGGCTTTAAAGGTCAACACCAACACTTCGACTTGTGCTCAGAAACCCACTTGAGAGGTGCCAGAACTGAGTTCTGGTGAATTCTGGCTGAAAAAAAGCCCTGGTCGTGTATGATCTAGTTCAGATTCCTGCATAGAAGGGCTTTGGACTAGGTGGCCCTCGGGGATCCCTTCCAGCTCTACAATTCTATGAACCTTCCAGCTTTTAATGTTGGATTTGTAACTTGGTGAGCTAATTTTTGATGGGGTAGGTTTATCCATCCCTATATATACATGATGGAAGTGAGAGCTGAACCATAAAGAAGGCTGATCGCTGAAGAATTGATGCTTTTGAGTTATGGTGCTGGAGGAAACTCTTGAGAGTCCCATGAACTGCAAGAAGATCAAACCTATCCATTCTTAAGGAAATCAGCCCTGAGTGCTCACTGGAAGGACAGATCCTGAAGCTGAGGCTCCAGTACTTTGGCCACCTCATGAGAAGAGAAGACTCCCTGGAAAAGACCCTGATGTTGGGAAAGATGGAGGGCACAAGGAGAAGGGGACAACAGAGGACAAGATGGTTGGACAGTGTTCTCGAAGCTACCAGCATGAGTTTGACCAAACTGCGGGAGGCAGTGGAAGACAGGGGTGCCTAGCGTGCTCTGGTCCATGGGGTCATGAAGAGTCGGACAGGACTAAATGACTAAACAACAAGTATATACATGGTGTGTCCTTCATAATTCTCTGGGCAATACATCCCAACCTTTAGATGTTTACCACTGTGAAAAACAGATACACTGCAGCAATTTGGGAGCTATTTACAAGTGGCCAATCTAATCTACACCCACAGGATTAAACAGTTAAGGGGAGATCAGTTAAAAGCAGTGACTGGACTGGGGCTACTTGATGCTGTAGTAAGATAGAGTAGAGTTCAATTAGTGTCTTGATGGGAGACTATACAAACCCCTCAAAGCTTGCTAGAAGGACATAAACACAATTTATACTATAGAACTGTAGGTACAACTATGAATTTTAAGAGGAACACCTAAATACAGAACCTATGTAAATACATATGTTTTGTTGACTGGATCGGAACATTTATTGCTCTTTAAGGCTGAGAGATTATCAGTGGAGGGGAAAGACCTTTTGATCCTGGGAGCTCCCATGTCAGTTGCTCCTGCAAAGTCTTCTGTTTAAAGAAGGCACTGTATGTTTATCCATTTGCCTGAAATACAGAGGGTATGTGGCAGGCACTCTTTGGACATCCATCAGCTCTCCCATTCACTAATAAACACAGTCAAATTTCAACACTTTCCTGAAGATCAAAGCCCTTTTGAGAATACACTTCTTATAAAAAAAGAAAGAAAATAGATTCACTCAGGTTTGGAAAAAATAAAATATTAGGAGCTACATCCATGCTACATGCTAAGTAGCTCTGATTTGCACCCAATCTGGCCTATTTATAAATTCACATTTTAAGGTGAATCTATCTTTCCAAAACAAAATGAGTACCAACACACACTTATCCTTTGAAATTTGCACTCAACTGAATTTTGCAATGCAGTTCTGCAACCAAACAACGTTTACAAAAATGTATGTATATAACAATGAACGTGCTGGCCACAATAATATACACAAATGTACTATGCAAGGAGAAATTTCTTGCCAAAAAAAATTGTGTACAAGCTGTGTTTATTAGGAAAAATTTGCACTAAATTGCTGCTAAATTTTCATGAGGATTTTTTTTAAATCCAGAAATTGCTGCAGAAATGTGGGGAAAGGGATTTAAGATCAGAAAAATGAGAAACTAAGAAAAGTGAAATGGGCACGTCTGTCCATCCCTTTCTATGTCTTTATCTAATCCTTTCAGTGCCAGCAGGACAGAGGCGCCATCTTCTCAAAATGATCGACACAACATCCGGATGTCACGCTCACAGCGATGTGTGGCATCCTGGTGTCACAAGGAGCCTGGGGACAGAGCTGAATGCCCTCTGAACATTGAGAGGGCTTAAACATTTGGGGGAGCAAAAGTGCCTCGGCACCTATGCAGCTGGAGGGATTTAGGGGCCCTCAGGCATGCAAACCAAGAACTTGTGCTGTGTGCGAAGTAAGATCTGCATTGTAGGCGCAGTGAGGCCTTTGCTGGTGTTTGGGCCCAAGTAAATGCCTGAAAAGGGACACGGGTGGCACTGTGGGTTAAACCACAGAGCCTAGGACTTGCTGATCAGAAGGTCGGCAGTTCAAATCCCCGCAACGGGGTGAGCTCCTGTTGCTCGGTCCCTGCTCCTGCCAACCTAGCAGTTCGAAAGCACGTCAAAGTGCAAGTAGATAAATAGGTACCACTCCGGCGGGAAGGTAAACGGCATTTCCGTGCGCTGCTCTGGTTCGCCAGAAGCGGCTTAGTCATGCTGGCCACATGACCTGGAAGTTGTACGCTGGCTCCCTTGGCCAATAAAGCGAGATGAGCGCCGCAACCCCAGAGTTGGTCACGACTGGACCAAATGGTCAGGGGTCCCTTTACCTTTACCTAAATGCCTGAAAACTTCATACCTTCTGGAGCCAGCCCTGAAATTCTTCAATGAAACGAAACAAAAATGTCTGTCTAAGCTAGTGGTCATTATCTTATCTTGTGGCAGATAATTCCATCAGTTAATTGTGCTTTTTGGGGGGGAAATACTTCCTTTTTGTCCATTCTGAATCTACTGGAAAAACATTTTTTTCAGAGTATGGGGGTACCTGGAAGGTTTGTTGTCTGCATCCAATAGAGTTGTTTTGGAATTAGACTGAGAATTTCTTAGATTATGAAATCCCTTCAGGGAAAATAGGGATGAATCAGTGTTCTTTGGCAACAGCTACTATTACCCAAAAACCCCATTTTCAGTGAAAAAGAGAGAGAGAGATAATGTCAAACCAATAAATTAGTCTGGAAAAGGGGTTGTAATGAAAAACATACAGCTTTGTAAATGAGTTGCATGAAGCCTGATGAGCCAGTTTCGGGACTAGTCACAACAAAAATTCCTCCTCCAGCCAATGAAGTGAGGATTAGTCAGCCCGAGGATTTGGAGAAGAGGAAACCCATTTCAGAAAATGGCCAAACAAGAATGCAAGACCAGATGCTGCAAATTAAAGTATTTATGCACAATTTACCGGAATGTTCCCTGCATGAGCCCCATGGGAATGAATGGGTGCTCTTACACAGCTATCATTCAGTCTAATGGGCGTTACGCGGAGACACGTTTCCACAGAATTAATAGCCATTCGACTGTGAAGTTTTAGATGGGACCCAGTGATGGCTGGTTATCAATAAATACACTGTGTTGTTGAAAACCAGAGTTTCAAACGATGCGGGGAGCCTTCATAGATATAAAAGACTCCCGGCAGTCACCTTTCACAAGTTGGAAGCCAAGAAAAAGAGGGATAAGGGGGCAGAGCTAATGTACTTCTTTTTGCTGCCTCAACTCACATGATAACTTCAATACAGTGGTACCTCGGGTTACACACGCTTCAGGTTACATACGCTTTAGGTTACAGACTCCGCTAACCCAGAAATAGTACCTTGGGTTAAGAACTTTGTTTCAGGATGAGAACAGAAATCGTGTGATGGTGCGGTGGCGGCGGCAGGAGGCCCCATTAGCTAAAGTGGTGCTTCAGGTTAAGAACAGTTTCAGGTTAAGAACGGACCTCCAGAAAGAATTAAGTACGTAACCAGAGGTACCACTGTATGTAGAACACCTGAAGAAGGTTTTAGATAGAACAGGGAGTCCCTAGGTGAATGCTAGTACTCCCCTGCAGGTCCGAGGTCTGGGACCTCTCTTTTTACTAATTAAGTATTTCTCCCTGTCCCCAGCCCAGTACCCTAACAACCTTCTGAAAACATAGTAACTAGCTTATTTTTTATACCGTGTGGTAAGGTTAAGGAGTGCTGTGATAATACCACCACACCACTGTTAAACCTCACAACAGTATTCCCTGCTCACAGGACCAGCACCAGGGGCCAGCCACACTGAGCACTGGATGAAGCCCCAGTGACTCAGATCAGCCCCTCACTGGACTGACCTGGCCATGACACTTCCTGGTCTCTCCACAGGAGACTTGGACAGCCATTTTAGCTGTGGCCCAGCAGCAGTTCCATTTTTGAATGGGAGTAGATCTTAATTCCATCTCATTTTTCTCAAAACTCTAAATTGTGGTGGGGGTGGGTGGGAACAGGGGTTTCCTTGCAACTCTCAGTTCCCTTAACAAACTACAGTTCCCAAAGTCCTTTGGAGGAATCTATGACTGTTTAAAGGT